AAAACAGCCCCACATGACTGGCCAAGTTAATAGGCCCACCAAGTAATGTTATAGGAATCTTGTCTGGCTTGCACGAAGTCTTCTTATGACGTCTCTAGCTGAGACCGTCCCGTTTTTGATACATCTGCTTTCGGCTCTAGGAGCTGCTCTTTGTCTTCGAACATTCCTCTGGGAGGTCGGAAAGGGGTGTGGCATAAAGGGGTCTGGTGCCAATCGTGGAAATGGCGGTGCTATTTGCGATAGATGCCAGCGCCATATTCCCCTTTACATGAATTTAGCACCACACCCCTCTAAACCATACCCCTTTCCTACCTCCAGAACTTTGTTGCTCTAAGAACATATCGTGGTAGGCCTACAGGAATGCCAGGAGGGTCGGTCCCCGCTCAGCCCCCGCCGCTCGCGCGGCTGGCAGGCTCGAGGCTGCTGCTCCCGGACCCCAGGCCGGGGGCCACTGCGGGAGCAGCCTCGCGCCGCTGGGGCCGCCCCGACTCCGGATCCGCCGTGCTTTCGGGACGATTTCGACGGTGGAGCATCAATTCAGGAGGCGGGAATTTGTACACGACCACCGCCTGGAGGATCAATTTTCGAGGACGTCGGCAGGCGGTGGATATGGACATATTCGGGCCCCTGGGGGCCAAGAGAGAGAGAGAGAGAGAGAGAGAGAGATATATATATATATATATATATATATATATCCATATTCACCGCCTGCCGGGGCACCAGGACGTCGGCAGGCGGTGGATGTGGATAAATCCCCGCCTCGCATCAATTTCCGTACTCTTTTTCAAGCTCTTTTGATGCCGTGGTCCGCCTTATTTTACCGTCGTCGCCGTTTCCGCCATACCTGGGTGTGGAAACACAGCCATCCTTTTCTGAGGCGGAATTTACCGTCCCTTGTTTTCGTGCTGTTTGGGTGCATGCTTGATGCAAATCAGAATCCGAAAATCAACCAACAGTAATGTCAGCTTGTGACTAACAAATGCAGCCCCCCCCTCCCAGGCCGATGAACAGACCCCGCCGTCTTTTTGTTTTTTGTTCTTTTGTTTGTAATTGCGCGCGCCAGGGGGGGAGGAGGAGAGAGGAGGCCGAGGGCGACCGAGGGCGACCTCCAGGGTCCAGGGCCCGCTTCCTTCAGGGCGCGCTTCCGCCGTGGCGAAAGAAGCTCTGGCTGGGGCGACGAACAGAGCGGGCGGTGTAGGCGGGCGGAGGCATGGCGGGAGACGGCGGCGACGGCGACGGCGAGGGCGAGGGCGACGACGAGGAAACCAACGACGATGGCCACGACGACGGCGGCGGCGGCGGCAGCGAGGACCACGACAGAGGGGGGAGGGGGAGTGCCCGCCTTGCTCGGTTCGGACGAAGGGCTGGGGAAGGAAAGGGGGGGTTGCGAAGCCTGCTGCGCGCAGCTGGTTTCGGTCGCCCCGCCGAGGGGCCAGTCCTCGACGCATGGCCGTCTTCGGCGCCAGGAGGCGCTTGGAAAATCAACGACGTGAGTTGCTGGGCAAAACCCCACTTTGCCACGCCTCCGTTTCGTCCAGCCCGCCTTGACCGCAGGCCCACATCGGTTTGACAGAAAAGAGGGGCGCCCTGGCTCGTCCTTGCCTCCTGCCCCCTCCCCCCACCAGTCTGTGCTGTTTGTCGCCTTCTCGCTGGCGGCCGGGCGTCGGCGTTAATCACCGCCGCCGCCGTTGATGTTCAGTCAGGCGTGCGCCACCCCGCGATTCGCCCGAGCAGGGACAGTATTTCTTTAAACACGCGCCCCACACGGACTTGTTCATCGCAAAATGACATTACGTTGCTGGGACGGGGAAGCAGTGACCCAGGGCACAACATTGCCTCCAGGCACGGGGTCGGGATTTCTGGGTCCGTGGGTCGAGAGAATCAAATCGGCGGACGCCAGGGTTCGCGTCGTGAACCACGGCGGACGGTTTTTTTGGCCATCTTTGGCCTGTGGTGGGCCCTCGCCGGGCTTCGGGGCCGTCAGCAAAACAGCTCGGGGTCCAGGCCTGCGTAGGGAACCACGCCGTGAGAAAAAAAACACGACGTCGGACGTCTGGGGCCGGCGGCCGCCAGGGCCAGGATGTTGCCATGGGGGGGGGGGGGCCCGGGGCCCTTTCCAGGAGGGAAGAACACATTTAAAGGAGGAGTAAGGGAAAGAGGAGGAGGAGGGAGGAAGGAGGAGGAGGAGGAGGAGGAGGAGGAGGAAGAGGAGGAGGGGGAGGAGGAGGAGGAGGAGGAGGAGGAGGAGGAGGAGGGGGAGGAGGAGGAGGAGGAGGAAGGAGGATAGGGAGGGTGGTTCGTGAGGGATGCTGGGGAGGGAGGGCGCGAGCTTGGGCGGCCAAGGCGCAGCTCGAGGATCGGAGGGGGAAAGTTGTATAGGTGCACCTTCTTCTTCGCCTGCCCGCCCCCCACCCCTGGAAGGCGGAAACTTTGCTTTCCTCCTCGCTTTCAGCCGCGTGATCCACGCTGTCGAATTGCGCCTTGCTGCTGCCAGTTTGCTCTTCGAGCTTCTTGCTGGGCTGTTGATTCCCGAGTTCGGCGTTGAGCACGCGAACGGGCTGCCTGCGGAGGTAAAGCAATGTGGCGCAGCTGGGTACATTAATAACGTCGTCCAGCCACTGTGTTGGTCAGGCGTGTGAGATCCTCGGTAGAATGAATGCGAGTGCCACAATATTCGAGGACGCGTTCTCGGGTTATGCACTACTCATTACTTTCGATATTCCGGTGCGTTGGCCCTGGTTCTGTCGAGGCGCATCGGCAGCTGTTCAGCGAGGCTGGGGGTTTCATTTACTTCGAGGCCTGTGGCGTGCAGCGCCAACTGGTTGCGACATCTCAGTATAAACACGTGGGTACACTGACTCGTTTCACATACTCAATCCACCCAGAGATCACTGCAACAGTCGAGGCGTTGAGGTGAGTTTTCAAACAATTGCGGCACACGGTGCTGCAGCGAAGTTTTTTTTCCGGTTGAAACACGGTTTGGGTTGTACCAAGAGGTGGTGTTCACGCGTGGTCTTCACCAGGCCAGGACATGGCCCCAGTTGCAGAATACTGAGCTGATGAGAGTCCACACGGCTGTGATGCAGGTGTATTCATCAGCTCCTGCAAAAAGACTCGAACGACCTTCGTTGCCCGTCGCACGAGTCCATTGCTGAGCACGGGTGGTTCGTCGCACCTGCGACCATGATCTTGTGCATGCGAGCTGGGCTGTTCAGCGGAGCGTGCTTGAAGGCCACACGCGCTCTGCGCGTTGCGTTCTCCCACGCCATTGGGGTCCGCAGGTCCTCGACGCATGCTGTTTCAGCTTGCTGATTTCGTGTTCTGGTTTGTTTTATGAATGCGATAATAAGATCAGAAGCCGGGAAAAGGCTGGCAAACCGTGGTTGGTAAAACGGGGCTCCGGGATGTTTTTGTTCCTCCGAGAAGCAGCCCGTTTACTATTTATTGCGCTGAGCTTGATTCCGGGAATTTTTTCGTCCGAGAAAACCGTTTCGGCAGCCGCGGATTTGCCAGCCCTCGCCCAGCTTCCAACAAGAAACCCACTGGAGAAGGGGCTCCCGTGGCCCGCTCCCGTCCGAAACGCTTCAGAGCGGCGCTGCAAGACGCCAGGCATGAACGTGCGTTCCACGAAGTGACCGTACATGGACATTATATTCGAACCCTGTAGCCCGAGATGCCCTCCAGACCCCCTGAAATCAATATTTATGGCGTGGCGCCGATCCTTCAAGTTCAAAAAATCCCCGCGACGCCAGAGACCAAGCACGACGCGAGCCGGCCGTAGGGAGGGAGGGAAGCTAGGCAGAAATGGCACCCGCACAGACCAGTCCATCTCGGGGGGGGCTGCGGCCAGGCCGCGGCCCTCTCCGACCCGCGCGGCCCCGGTGCGGGGCCGCTCCCCGGTGCGGGGCCGCTCCCTCGGGGCCCCCGGGGCCCAGCGCCTTTCTCGACGCCCCGCCGGGCGAGCTGTGAGCCGCCCGCGCCGCCGGGTGGCAGGAGGCCTCCTTCTCTCGATGATCCTCAGGACGTGTGCCAGTTCCATGGTCCAGAGGTGCCAACGTCGCATTCCAGAGTCATCCACGGCGCATCGGATGCGTCATATAACACATGCATCATAATCATGCGTTGTCAACATCGATGACGCACCCCATGCGGTGGCGCATTTTATGCCTTGTGGATGCGTTGGGGGTGCGTCGGCGGCACTTGCGTTTGTGTGTGTGTGTGCGTGTGTCGTCGTCCTCGCCAGTCCTTCTGGTGGCGCTTTGCCTCGCCTTGTCGCTCACGTGGTGTCGCGCTGACCCGCGGGCGTGCCTCTTTCGTCTTCCCCCCCCCCGCCCACGCTGCCCATGCCCGGGTATGTGCATGGCACGGTCGGTCCGCCTTTGTGAAGCCCCGTCCCGTCCTCCGTGGGGCCGACCGCGCGCGCGCGCTCCTCCGCTCCCCGGCCTCCTGCGCCTCGACTGTGCGCGCGAGGCCGTGACGCCCACAAAGTGTGTGTGTGTGAGTGTTGTTTATGTGCGTGTGTTGCCCTGCGAGCACGAGCTGCCAGCGGCGGGTATTTGATTCCGGTCCTGGCACCCGACGAGAGGCTTCGTGCTCTGAGGGCGCCCCGGCCGTCCCGCGGCCCTTCCCTCCTCCGTTCCCGCCCTCCTGTTCCCGTGTGCGCAGTTCGCTTCCGGCGCGTCCCGCCCGCCGTTGGCCGGCTGCTTGCTGGATCCAGCTCGCCGCACATCAAGCAGGTGCGCCACCCCGTGCAGCTCCACCGACGGCGCGCAGCCGGTGTCGGCCGTCACTGCGCCGCCAGCGTCGTATCACACGGTGTCGCCAACATCCGTTGTTCGCCGAGCGAGCTCCGCTGCTCACAAAGTGCCTACTCCTCGCAAACGTCCAGAAAACCATACGCCAGACTTTGTGTAATATATCGTACCTCCCCCGCGGCGGATCCAGGCCACTTGCGAGTAGTTACTTTGCGAGTAGTGGAACGCGCTTGTCAAGTTGTGAGGATCATCGACTCTCTTTCTCTCTCTCTCTCTCCCTCCCTCTTCCCCCCCGCCTCGCGCCGCTGCCGCGCCCGGTGACCCCGCATGGGGAGCCGCCGCGCGCACCCTGGACGCGGGCGGGGCTGCTCGGTGGACGACAGCTATACGGGTCCACCCCGCCTCACCTTCCCGTCTCCGCCGCCCTAGGATGAAGTCGACCCAGCCCTAGGAAGGGAGGGAAATGTCCAGCGGAGGAGGGAGGGAGGGAGGAGGAGGGAGGTGGGCCTGTAGAGTTGTCCGTTCCCTGGCTGCGTGGGGAAAAAAGGGGGCCAGCACTGCCCCGTCACCGCTGCCGCCGCCGCCGCCACCTGCGCACGCGCTGGTGGCCTTCGGAGGCCTTCGGAAAGCCCCCAGCGGCTTCGGCGGAGGCTTTGGCGGTCTTCGGCGGAGGGCATCGGGGACCTCCTGCGGCTTCTGGAGGAGTTCGGATGGATTTGGGAGGGGGTTCGGAGGGCTTCGGGGGGTTTCGGGGGGCTTCGGAGAGCTCGAGAGGCCTCCGGAGGGCATCGGAGAGAGGCCCTTCTGCTGGATTTCAGAGGGCCTTCGGAGGGATTTCGGACGGCTTCTGAGAACCGGGGGGGCGGCGGGGTCCTACAACATGCTGCACACGTAGAAGGTGTAGCATCGAGCAGGCTCGAGTGGGGGCGGAAGTTCAAGGTCTAGCGAAAGTGAGCGCGCGCGCGTCCATCCGCTTTGGCAAGGTACGAGTCACCGTGCAATGCCTCTAGGACGTGAGGCATATTCGAGTGCAGTCCCTGAGTTCGCACTGACGTTCAGTCGAGGCAGGGCCATTCGTAGGGTGTGTCTTTCAGATGTGCGCTCAGGGGGCCCTACAGACCGCGATAACTTTTAATCTCACTACCACTGCATCTTTGAACTGATTTGTTTGTTAGGGCGCTTAAGCCTTTCGTTAATGTCAGCTTGTGATTAACAAATGAGGCCCCCCTCCGGGGCTGTACCCCGCGGGCACGAAGCATGCTTTAGGTATCGCGCGCCAGGGGGTCGTCGCGGGCGCCGTCGAGGGGATCGTGTACACTCTGCACGGCAGCCTCAAACCGATTGCCCTCCGTATGTCAATTGAAATAGGGATCGCACACATCCGAGGCGAAGTTGTTCCCCCTCTCAGGCTGATCACTGGCGTGCCACAGTCGTCGTCCTCGTCCTCGTCCTCGTCGGCGTCCTCGTCTTCGTCGGCGTCGGCGTCGGCGGCGGCGGCGGCGTCGGCGTCGGCGTCGGCGGCGTCGTCGGCGTCGTGGGCGTCGGCGGCGTCGGCGTCGTCGGCGTCGTCGTCGTTGTCGACTACAGCGGGCGGGCCTACGCAGCACCCTCCCCCGCCCATAGCGCATCCACAATGCGTCGTCGTCGGGGTCGGCGTCCTCGTCGTCCTCGTCGTCCTCGCTGTCGTCGTCGTCGTCGTCGTCGTCGTCGTCGTCGTCGTCGTCGTCGTCACCGACTGCAGCTAGGGCATCTGCAATGCGTCGTCGTACGTCGGCGTTGTCGTTGTCGTCGTCGTCGTCGTCGTCGTCGTCGTCGTCGTCGTCGTCGTCGTCTTCGACGATCACAACGGGCATACGAAGCACCCCCGCCCCCCCCCCCATGGAGCATCCGCACTGCGTCTTCGTCCGCCGTCGCCGTCGCCGTGGTCGTGTTCGTCGTCGTCGTCGTCGTCGTCGTGGTCGTCGTCGTCGCCGGCGTCGTCGTAGGACGTTGTCGTGGAGGGGGGAAGAAGGGAAAAGGACAAAAAGGAACCTTTTCCGCCTGCATCTTCTGCTCCTCCCCCTCTCCCCCGCCCAACCGCTCCACTATATCTGAGGCGCTGCTGTTCCCCTCCGTTGAAGCGGTGCCGCTTGTGTCGCGCCTGTCGCCCTCCTGCAGTCGGCTGGGCGTCGGCGCTAATCGTCGGTGCCGCCGCCGTGTGTTTCAATTGGGCGGGCGCTCCCCAGCGACTGGCCCGAGCAGAGGAATCATTTTTTTCACGCGCCCCCCATGTTTTAGTTTAGTCACAATCTGACATTAAAAATTTGTCAGCATCTGATACTGCTTGTCATAATGTCGCTGGTACTTCGAACTGCGCGCCAATCTGGCGTCCACACCTGTTCTGGTTGCGCAGTTTCACCATCCACTTCCGCTGTAGCTGCGGACCCTCGCCTGTGCTTGCAGTGTTCGAGACATGGCCACCGCCTCATTCGTGTTTGATGAATTATACATTCCAGTTCCATGCGCTACACTCAAAGTTCATAGTCAGGATGATAATTTGTCCTTGGTTGCCATTGCTTCGTTGTCCCTTCGGCCCATCATTGGCAAATTTAACTGGCCAGACCCAGTCGAAACAATGTCAACATGGCCGTCCAAGGCCCATGCATCCTTACCGTTCATTTTCATACATTGCATTTGTGGGCCAGACAAACGTGCTGTGGGCCAGACAAACGTGCCTCTCCAACCACAGTGCGGCGCGAGGTCGGAAGGCATCGCGGTCCGAACTCCGCGCGGCGCGAGGCGCGAACTCGGAAACAGTCGGCCGTTCCACTCAGTTGGCGGGGGGGGGTAAGAAGGGGAAGGCGATGGGGAGGAGTATCGGGCGGAACTGCGACTGGAGGCGGTCGGCGAGAGCGAAATGTAGTGGGAGTGGGAGGCTGTGGAGGCGGACTCCTTCTACCTGCGTGGAACGTATCCCTACCCCTGTACTTGGGATCATCCGACTTCGATACCGATCCCAAGGATCCCTACATCTTCTGAAGGCGCATCCCTACAGGTTGCCTCCTTGCTCTTCGCGCTGGCCATCGCAGGGCCGAGCGGGCGTGCGCTGTCGAGGCCCCGCTTTGCGCCGTGTCTGGACCCTCTGACCCCGATCGTGTACCTTGCGTCCCTACCTTGCATCTTTGCTACGGATTTTGACTGCAGCCTGGGTGGGCCCCAGGATGGGAGCGGGGACTCTGGTCCC